TTAGACCAAACATGTCAGCAAGCACGTTTTAGAAAAAATGCAAACAGAAAGGTGACTTATACATAACATCAGGAAGAGATAGTTGAAATTTCTTTGTGATGTGATTTATTCGACGTTTTCTTCTGCACCTGTCCTGTTTTCGTCGTTCTGAGTAGCTTTGTGCCATACTTGCATTAAAAAACAAAAAAACAAAAATGACTTACCTCGGAAAAATGAAAGAAATTGTGACGTGATTACCCACTCACAAACAGGCTAGGATTACATTTCTCACACATCTAGCGAGACTGATACGATAGGATCAGTTCATTGGGGTGTTTTTAATATATCGATGTCACGGTATATAGAGAGCTTCACGAACAACGTAATTGCGTGCGCCGAGTTTCGCATGGCGTCAGACTTTTTGTTATACTACATGCAAACACAGACATTATATATATATATATATATATATATATATATATATATATATATATATATATATATGAAATAAGGTGTATTTTGGTCACGCGAGCAAGAACTCCCTCAAACATATTCTATCATTTTTATTAAATCTTTCAAATTTCCGAATGTGTTTTTTGTGTTATCGTTAAATTTGCCAAAATTAATATTGAATTTTGTATCTTATTATTTTAATAATATAAATGTTAATATGGATTTTGGCAAATTTAACGACAGCAAGGCCTCTGATTTGGGAGGTTTTAAGGAGCATGTTCCCAGGTCCACCCTGACCCGCGATAGTAGCACCTGTTAGGGTCCCAGCTATAGGTAAATAGTAAACTCCAAACTGGGGTCAAAACACAATGAAAGTGTAAAAATAGGTTTTAATACCACAAATATTGTGTAAAAAATGATCACCAGCAATAAATTTTTGAAGAAAAAATTACTACCAGCAATACATTATTACCAGCTATATATTTAAAAAAAAAAAAAAATTACCAGCTAAACATTTTTTTAAAAAAAATATTACCAGCTATATATTTTTTGAAAAAAAATATTACCAGCTATATATTTTTTAAAAAAATAATACCAGAAATAGATTTTTGCAGGAAAAAATATTATCAGCAAAATATTTTTGTAAAAAAATATTACCAGCAATAAAAGAGGTTGATATGCCGTAAAATAAAATAAAGCAAACCAAAACAACTTATTCGGAATTTTGAAAGATTAATAATAAAATTGACGGAACATGTCAATATTATTTAACAAATATATATACAGGGTGTATCAAAAATTCTTTTACAAACTTTGGGAGCGAGTTCCACACACCAAAACAAGGACAAAAAAGATATGTCCGCTAAATTTTTCGTTTTTGAGTTATTAAGTTTAAAGTTTATGGTAGGCGCTGTTAAATGCATAATCTAAGATACAATTCAAAAAACCTTGCACACGTTGGAAATGATACGGACACAGGAGCTGCTCTTGAAGTACCCTTCATGCGGTACTATGAAATGGGCGACATGCTAGGGTCACTTGACAGCCTGTAGAATGTGTTCTTCATAATGAGGAATAGGATCTATGTCTTCCTTGAACCATAGCAATGACTCAGACAATTTCTACGACCACATCATCCCTTACATCTGCTCAACAAACTCCCTAGACTACAACCCCCTTGATTATTATGTGTGGGGTGCAGTTAAGCGAGACACCAACAAAACTCTTTGTAACACCAAAGATGAACTGAAGGCAAGGATTATGGTAGCATTCACAGATTTGATAAGGTGACCATCCAGAATAGTTGCAGGAGATTCCAAAGTCGCCTGGAGTCCGGGGTTGAAGCCAATGGCGATTTTATTGAATACATTTACTCTTTAGTATTTCAAAATATTTTTGTGTAATTTTAGTAATTATATCTGTTAAAAGGCCAGTGTTATTTTCATTTTTGCATAATATTTTTCTCACAAACGTTGCCCAATTGACTTTACTATACGATGCAGTGGATAAAATAAAAAACAAACAAGACACATGCGCGAGATTAAAAATATAAAATGGGACCAATTTATCCATCACACCCTCTATATATATATATATATATATATATATATATACATACAAGTATATGATTGGTGTATACGGAATAAATTCCAATAACCAACAATTACTATTCTTAAAAAAGTGCTCAATACAGAGTTGAGCAGATATAATTATTTATTTAAAAATTATAACATAAATATGTTATAAAATGACTACAAAAATAGCCATTTTGTTTCAACACCTCCGGTGTCTTATCAAGTGATGGTATCTTATTAAGTGATGATGTTGAATGTAAAATAAATGGTTTTAAAAGTTTCAAATTAATTAACGATCCTTCGTAAGTGTAAAACGCTTTTACAAAAGCTAGAATGATCAATCAAAACACAAGTATAGGAAAATTCAAAAAACTTGACCACGAAGTAAGGTTATAATAGCTATTAAGAGCTTTAAAGTTGGGGTTATACTAAAATAGAATTTATTCTAACCAATAAGTATAAAATTATATAACTAATATAATAAAACCAATATG